CCTTGTTCCAGGGAAATATTTCATTTGAAAGGTCAATCCGAGCAGCCAATGGCTTCTAAACAGTGAATATTTGATTACACAACAGTAAGAATCAATTTTTGGAACTAGTTTAGTGATAGGAGGACAATGTAAAATAAAGTACATCATCTCATGTACCTTAACTATGTCTTAAAGAAAATGATATGAAAATACTACACAGTCTCAAGTCCAAAACTTTATTTAATAGGTATATTATTAACATTTCTTTTACTATGTCAGGAAAGATTAAAAGAAACAACATAGAAATACTTTCAGCTATACAAATTCAAAGCTTCTAGGACCAAAAAAAAAAAAAAAAAAAAAAAAAGGATTCCACCATTGTTTACATAGATTTTTTTCTACATAGAAAATGCCTGTACCTAACATAATCTTACCAATTTTAACCCTGGGCAACGGGAGCAATGTAGTTGGAAAACTTATTATTTAACACCGTACTTGCCTCATGCCAGATAAGGTTCTAAGCACTCTACAGGTATAAACTCATTTAATCTTAAAACCATGTAACAGAGGGGTACCTGGCTACCTCCATCTGTGGAGAATGCAACTCTTATCTTGGGGTCATGAGTTTGAGCCCTAGGCTGGGTGTAGATACTTAAAAATAAAATCTTTAAAAAGTAAAAATAAAACCATACAACACAATATAGTAAAACAAATAATTTTAAAAATGAAATCGTTATTTTGCTCTCCTACCCTGTCATATGTAGACAGTAAAGGTCCAGTGAAAAGATCTTTAACTATAACAAGATTTGTTTGTTTCTGGCTCTATTTATGATTCTGGGTGACTTTGGATAAGTTAATGAAACCGGAGCTTCCCAAACCTGACTTGACTGATGATCAGAATTAGGAGGCTGTTATACGTGCACACACACACCCACCTGTTTTTTAATTTTTTAAAAGATTTTGTTTATTTGCCACAGAGAGAGAGGAAAAAAAAAAAAAAAAGCACAAGCTGGGGAATGGAAGGCAGAGAGAGAAGCAAACTCCCTGCCAAGCAAGGAGCCCAATGCAGGACTTGATTCCAGGACCCCAGGATCATGACCTGAGCTGAAGGCAGACGCTTAACCGACTGAGCCACTCATCTATCTATATATATATTTTTTTTTCTTAGTCAACTGATCATCACAGTATACTTTTTATTTTCATCCCTAAAATACTTTGAGTATTTATGCCTGACATCATGAAGAATACAAAGATGAATAAAACAAAGTTTTTGGTGAAGACACTGCCATAAACATAAGAATAGCGGCTTAATTTTCAAAAATTCAAGTGTGGCTGAATTTTAGATCCTGCAGTCTATCACTCATAAGCCAGGAATGTCATATTATAAATACGTTCTGGTCTAACAGTCATATCAAGCTGGTAACCACAGTATCAAGTACTACAGGGAACAGTGTCTCTGGGAGTCTCCAAAGTTTGACTTTGAGTATGCTACTGGACAATTTGCAGCAAGTCTTTAAGCCCTCTGGGCCTCTTTTTCTGAATAATGTGTGCCTCACAAAGTTGTTGTGAAAACAAAATGAAGTAATATAAGGGTTAAGGTACCATGGGTATTACAGACAATGACATGTATTTTGAGTTGTTTTTCCATCAATAGTGACAAATTGCTAATAACCACTGCTTTCTTATCTGGCCAATACACCCAAAGAGGTTTTTGTTGTTAACAGTTGTTTCTATATGTGTAGTTAATGTACATTCATATAACATTTTTATAAATTGGTATGTAATAAGTATATGTATAAAATATGCACATAATATACCCATGAATACGTTTAAATGTGTTTATGCATATACCTTTCAACATAGAAATACCAAAGCCACAAATCTAATGGGCAAAATTTCATCTACTGTGGGGTAGACTTTGGATAAAACCTCAGGGACCTATATATTTTATTTTGTATTTCTGATTAAACAATGATAGGAATGACAAAAGATTCACAGGAATGCTTCAGATTTCAGATAAACGCGTAACTGCAGATAAAATTCTTACTACCCTTTTGGGACGTGTAATGCTTTCATAGAAAATTCTAGTATACTCACTTCGGTAAACTAATCATTAGTTCTAAAACAAGATTCTGACAAAAGCATACCACTCTATACATCCCCCCTAAAATATAGATTATCTATAACAGCAGGGAACATAAGAACTGTAGTTACTAAATATTCCTTTTACTTCTTACTCATAGTATATTTAACACACAAGGTTTGATCATAATAAAAATTTCCACTCACAAGAAGAAATCTCATTTTTTTTTTGTAATCTAAGCCTATTTTATAAACAGTATCCTTCACGTTCTTTGAGTTGCCCGGGCAGCAAATTTAGGAACGCTCATGAGTTCTACTGGATATTAGTGCTAATTATTAATGATATGTAGTCACAATTATACCCTTTCATCCAAGTACCTCAAAGAGCTTTTAAAGCATTAATTTGTTATTTCTTATAATATCTCTGAGAGGTAGGCCAGTAGAGGGTTATTATTATCTCTATTTTACAAAGAAACTAGGGCATGGAGAGGTTAAGGCACTGTGCTAGGGTCACAGGGTGAACAAAGAACAAAAAAGGCCTCGAGATCATTGTTCTCATTACCAGTTCAGTATGGTACCCATTAAAAGGTTGTTTAATACGCCTCCATGTATTTCTACTCTAGGAAAACTGCAAATAATGTATTTGAATAATCTACGGACTAAAGGTGAGAATTCTTTATTTTTTATATTCAAAAATGTTGAATAAAAACTAATAATTACTCTTTGGTTTGCCACTGTAGGGCATAGGGCTTTTATTATTTGTTGCTTTCCAAAGCCTCTGCTCAAAATGATCCATTCTATTTCTGACTGCTTTCAGCTAGGTTAGCGTGGCTATCAACAATGAAGAAGCAACTGAGACAGGCTGACTAATGAACTTGAGGTTGTCTGTCATTGTGTTCCCATTGCTCACTCTTCTTGAAGTCATCTTCCTCGTTCTCCACTCAACAGGTGTTTGTGCAAACTACTGTCCTCAGTCCTTTTGGCTGGCTTTAAAGAAGCTGTTTATTGTCAATGATTAAACCTAACAATTTTTAAAATTAATGATATTTCATCTTTGAGTTTATGCTTATATACTAGTTGTCACTGTCATACTGTTTTTCGTAAGCCTGACCTTTCCGGTCCAATAGAAACATTAAACATTGGAGTATTGGCATGGGCATATGTATTATTACCACATCGAGATTTAAAAAATGTAGTATTTCTGCAATTTTCCCAAGAAAAGGTAGGGAGAAAGAAGTGGTTTTGAAACTGTGCTTGACAAAGTGGGCCTGCAGTGGGCTTAGATGTGGTGATACAAGCCTGTGGTGTTTCTAACTTCAGCCCAGAACTCCAGACCCATGTAGCAACTGCCATAAGACAGCATCACCGGCACCTCAAGCTGGCCAGGTCCAAAATGGCACTTGTTTCCACATCCCCTCCCCTTTCCCATCCCAGCCATTCCCTATTCCATTTGGTAAATTACACGTTTACCCTCTCCCCAACGCAAAGCAAGGCATCATGTTGCTACTTCCCTTCCGTTGGCTTACCCAGAATCTTCCCCCCAGCAATCAATTACAATTACAATCACTTGATTTGGCATCCTGGTATTTTAGGAATCCATCTTCTTTGGGTGCTCACAGACACTCCCCATAATGGTCCTAATCCTTTCTCTTGATTTCTGTCAAGTCCCCTTGTCCACAAGCCCTCTTCCCCTCTTCTTCCCCTCAACTAATGTCCTCTACCAACAGCCTAAATTGTAAAACTGTCCAGGGTAATTCCTCTATTTATTGCCTCACCAAGGAGTGAAAGACGGTTCACAATTTGGTTCCTATCTGCTTCTCCAGATTCAACCTTTTCAGCAACTCAGGCTTTAAGTCCTGTAATTACTACCCAGACTTCTAAACACATATTATTTTTCCCTTTGCTGCATGTCCTTTTTGCTAGGATCTGGATTTACCATTCCACCCTTAAGTTTGTGCTGGAAAATCCCTTATCTTGAAAATCTAACGCAGTTATGAGTCATCCATTCTTTCCTCTGTATACCTTGATACACCATCCTTCCAATCATAATTACTTGCTTCCATGTCGGCCCATCAGAGTGGGCATTCCTTGAACGAGTTGTGCAAAGCTGGGAATTGCTACTCAACAGTGGGAGGAGATAAGGGGATAAATAAATGTCAACAGGTAAGACTCCCAAGTGCTAACGGATATTAGGCAAACGATCTATTTCAAATCTGTGGAAGGAGTCAAATAGAGCAACCGATTTAGTGCAACTCCTTCTAACTCAAGCTACCAAATCACAAGATGGGGGCGCCGTTTGATCTCAGGGCCGCACCAGACACGAGACCTGCGGTGTCCGGGGACTCGAGTCCCCTCAGTAAAAGATCACAAACCACCCTAAGGTCTGAGCTCTCCAGGGATCAGCAGTTAGACCTGAGGCCCAGGGCGGCTACCGAAACCCTCCAGCCAGGGCAGAGAACTGACCAAACCATCTCCAAGTATTCCGCCCGCAACGAGCCACGTCGCCAGCTCCGCTCGGGAAAACCCCGGGCACGGGACAAGCGGCCTCCACCCTTGGACAACCAGTGAGAAACGGCGGCCCCCGAAAGCAAGATGGCGGCCTCCGCTTTCCCCTCCTTCCCCGAGAACCCCCTCCTGGTCCCCAGAAGAGAGACAAGGACGTCGCGGCGCCGACGCCGAGATCCGGGAACCTCCGCGAGGCCTGCGGCAGCTCCCGGGCCCCCGGGAGGCGATTCCACCTCGCCCGGCGCGGGGAGCCGGGGGTGGGGCGGTCCGAAAGGCAGCGCAGCCAGCTCTCGGCACGCAGCGGGTGGACGCCGGCAAGCCCGCGCCCTCCTGGCCATTGTTCTCCAGCCCCGGCCCCCAACAACCTCCTCTCCGCCCACGGACAGGAAGTTGCTCCCCAGCCGGCCCCGCCCCGCTCCCCCAGCGCCCCGGAAGTGATCTGTGGCGGCTGCTGCAGAGCGGCCAGGAGGAGGGTGGATCTCCGGAGAGCGGAGCACCCCGAGTCCTCCTCCTCCTCCTGCCGCCCAGGCTCCGCCGCCGCCCGTCGGACTCGTCCTTCTGCCGCTCGCGGCGGGGAGCCTCCCAGACGTCAAGGGCCAAGCTCTCTCCGGCCGAGGCCAGCTCAGCCGCGGCTTCCGGAACCCGCGGGGCGGCGGACCGGCTTGCCGTGCAGGTGAGCGATGCCTGCCCGGGCCGCCCCGGGAGGGGTTGGGGCGGCCGGGGCGGCGGCGGCGGGGGTGTGTCCGGGCGGCAGCGGGCCGAGGCCCAGGCTCAGGGCCCGGACGCCGAGATTGCACATCCCGCGTTCTGTCCCGGAACGAGCTGCGGGACGAGCCCGGGCTGGAATCCGGGGCGCGGTGTTCACTGCTGTGCGGGCGAGTGCACTCCCGAGAGCCGGCGGCTGCGGCTCGGTCCTCCGAGCCCAGCACCTCCTTGAGTTAGCCTCATCGGAAGGTCACCCTGCATCTCTGGCCCGCCGCGCCGAGGTCCCCGCCTGGGCGGTGCCCGCGACCTGGGGGGACCCGTCGCCACCGCCGCAGTGCCCGCGCGCTTCACTCCGCCCCTCTCCCCTCCTTCCCTTTCTTCCACTCCTCGCCTGTACTAGAGCAGTTGCTTTTTAAGCATCTCCGCCAGGGTTTTGTGCCAGTTAAAGGAATGGCTTTTTCAGACTGAAGTCATTAGATGATCAGCATTGAACTGCACAGCTTTACCCATATTAGGGTAATCTAGCCTCTAAAGCGAGGAAGAGAATACAGATATTTTTTGAGTGAGAGGGTAATTCCTCTGGATTTGTTCCTTATGGTTTTCCAGGAGTGGAAGATGTGATTTGTATGGTTTAGTCTGGGTATATGTGTGTAAGTGGGCAGGGATGACAGCACAGAGAGGTGGCAGTGTTGTTTCAAGATTTAAGGAGAATTAGGGAGTTAACTGACCTTTGCTTGAGAAACCTGAATGTCCAGACTTGTGAGACCTTATCCAGGTGTCTTGGGGGTTGTGTGAGAACTCCCGTGCCACGCCTTGCGTGTCAAGCTGAAAAGCACCCAATTTACAAACTGTGTTTGGTGTGTGTTGGGGGGAGGGGTGGGGAGTGAGGAGGCCTTTGTAAAACGTGTGTCATTAGTTAATTTCTGTCCTGAAAGTACAACTTTAGTCATGTTTCCAGACTCGGATAACAAAATTTGTTAGTAAATTTGCGGTAGAGGGTCTTTTTTTTTTTTCCAGCTTGTTTATTAATATATTTAAATGTATTTTACTAGTTTATATATTTCTGTGTGTATTAATACAATATTATTGTAAAATGACTTGTGACTCTTCAGACGTTAATTTTAGACTTAAATTTTTTGAGGCCAGGAACTATGTCTTATGCATCCCTGTGTTCATAAGTGATGACTGACACATAGAAGTTATTCCCATATTTCTTCACTGAATGAATGAACGTGTAGCTGACCCCACAGTTGCCTCAGGAATCATTTATTTTGTTGGTTTTTTGTTTGTGTCCCAGTTTCTTGGCACATACAGACTTTGCTTTGTCTTAATGTTTTTTAACGTGATGAAAAGGACAATTTAAGAAGAATCCTTTGCTGTCCTTCCAAAACTATCCTCTGAAAGGTTAAAATTATATTTGGGATATTGTGATTGGGCATTATAATAGCTTGTATTCCAGTCTTCAGTTCTTAATTACTTAAACATGTTTATCCAGGGTTATTAAGAAGAGATTTCCTAGTGATAGTAAGTTTATGTTTGGGGTTGATAGCCGTACAGTAATTTTAATACAAAAGAGGAAATTAGAAGTCACCACTGTTTGGAAAACACGATACATCGTAGAATTGCTTATAGTGGCTTGGTTCTCCCATGGGTAGAGGAGATCCTCTGACATCCTGATATGACCTTGGCATGATTTACCAGTAGCCACTTTCACATTTCTTTGTCAAGATCCTCGTGTTCTCTAGTGTGTCTGCTGAATGTGTAGCCATCTTATCACTTATTTTAAAGTAGTTTCATACAACCCTTTCTTTGCAGGGCTTTCAGGGGAAAAGAAGGGCTAATTAGAGGGAAGGATCTTTTCTGCCATTTGTGTGGGGGAATAATTTTTGTGTATAGATGGTCGGGTTGTTTTCACTTCCGAGAGGTCGAAAAAAAAAGTGCTGATATCTTCTTTCCTCTCCAAATGGCCTGGTGGTGGTCCTGCACTTGTTTCCAAAGCTCAGTGTCTGCAGGATATACATGAATGTACCAGAATCACTTTTTGGATATGTGTGTATCACTGTTATACACACTTGTAATCCATATAAATGGGTGGCAAGGACAGTCATTTTTAAAATAGTATGTATTCTTGATGAGGAAAAATATTATGATTTGGAAGTAGTAGGGAGAAAGTTTATGATTTTTATTGTTTTGTAAAATGTTTTAACTCTTAGACACTAAGGAGAAGGGAGGCCTGCAGTTTCTTAGCAACATCACTGTACAGAGGTGAGATCTCTTTTTTAATTCAGCAACCCTCTTGGTAATAACAGCCCATATAACATTGATTGCCTGCCAAACACTGTGATAAGACCTTTAGTTATATTATTCTTAATCTCCGCAGTACCTTTGTAAGATAGGTAGTTTTTCCGTTCTTTACTAAGGCTAAGAAAAGCTGTTGGCTGGAGGCTGGTAGCTAGTATTCAGGAGAGTTGGGATTTGAAAGTACCGATTTCTGAGAGCATTGCATATTGCACTTAATCCTTAAATGCTGAGGAAAAACAAGTTTATGATTGAGCTGAGCTTCAGGAACATGAATCCAATGATCTCAGCCCTCTTGGCCATCTAGTGGGCCCTAGGGTTACGGCTGTTTCTGTTGTGAGTGCCTAAAGATGCAGTGTTCATCTGCCTGGGTGTGCCGTGAAGAAGTGGTTGGGTCTTGTTGGAATAGGGGTCCTGGAGGAGTAGAATGTCAGGAACTCAAGCAGTCGATTACTGCTTTTTGCTCTGAAATACCTGAATAATCCCTACTGGAGAGGACCATGGAAAATCTATTTTGTGGTGACTTCTCCTGAAACCTTGTTTTTTAGTTCTTTCACTAAAGGAGGTGGTGGGGGAATGTTGGGAAGTGGGAGGAGGAATTGGGAAGAATGTAGAAGAGGCGAAGGTATCCTGGATCTGTTTTTACCATTTCAAACCAGGTATCATTTTCACTTTGGGTTTAATATAGAGGCTTAAAAGTGGCAGAGTTCTTGTAAGTGATTGCTATTAAGTGCTGGTCAGCTCTCTTTACTCTTCCCAAGCCTGTGCGGTTTTGGGGTTTTTTTGTTTTTGTTTTTTTGGTTTTTTGGGGGGGGGGAATGTGCTTTTAATGGGCTTAATTTGAAGGATGTGTTCATCTCTTGTTTTTTGTTTTTTTAAAGTATGTAGCTCTGAGTAAAAAATGGCTCATTCCCCAGCCCCCATTAGGAACAGTTATTCTTTGTTTTTCTAAGACACCTTTCTTACTACCTTATTACACTCCAGAGGATTTGGTTACAATATAGAAAAAGTGAAAGTAAAGCTCTGTGAGTTTTAAGAGTCATGTGAGTAAATTTTGGAAGAGAATTTGAATCTTTGATATAATTATACCTAAGGTACAATTCCTCAGCATCAAGAGGGTAGTCTGTACAAGCCAAAATCAGCAAGCTTACATAAACTATTAGGGTACTATTCTCCAGGTCCTTCACAGTTAGAGTTCCCTGTTAGATGGAATAGACCTAACGCTTGACACACATAATCCCTTTGAAGTCTGGGATCCAGTTGGGTTGCTGAATTCACTTACTGGAAATAGGTATCAGGTTTGACAATGTCAGGTTGGAGAATAAAACATAGCTAGATTATGAAATGACTTCTACTCCCAGATGCATCATGAAGGGTGGGCAGAGATCCCCAGTTTCCACAAAGATCATGATTGTAGTCCTCTAAGCCACAGGACCTCTGCTTCCTAATGCAGTTGAATAGCTATCATCGTTCCTCGTTGGAAATGGAGGCTGCCCACTACTGATTGCAAGTGCTTTAGTTCAGCTGCTCGGGTTTTTGTCTGTTCTGGATTGCTGCCGAAGCTCGTTAGCCTTTTGTTGCCCACCCCACCCACTCTTGGTTAGAGCAGTCCTGTGACACTCCCCTGCTTAAAGTCCTTTCGTAGCTCCTTCTTGCCTATTAATAAAATCCAAACTCCTATAATCCTTAATCTCACATACGAAACTTTCAAGACCTGCTCTTTCCCTAACTCTCTAGTCTTATCTCTTCTCTTCTAGAATATTCTGTTCCAGCAGGACCAAACTTCTAGAATGCTAGCGTTTTCTTGATGCCCCATTGCATCTTCTGGTAGTTGTAGCCATCCCTCTTTACCCCAATCTGGTGTATGCCTGCTTGTCTCCCAGCACTCACTGTGGGTTATGCCTCTCCAAAAACTGTGTCTGTATTAGGTTTCTTTCTCTTGATCTCATCTCTAAAAACAAGAAACTGAAAAGCCAACAAATAAAAACTTCAACAACTTTCGAGACTGGACTGGTTGCTCTTTTTATGGGCTGCCATAAAATCCAGCATAGCACTTTTACCACTATGGGCAGTGCCTTCATTAAATTTTGTTGACCACAATCCATAGTAACTACACGCAGAGCTCATAACTACACACATAAATACACTCTTAAAAGTCTTCACAGGCCTTTACCAGAAGTTCCCAAACTTTCTTAGTTCATGACGTCCTTATCATATCAATAATTGTTTCACAGCATCCCTAGGTCAAAAAAACCACCTAACGGTTTAATTTATTAAATAGGCCTAAGCAACTTAATAAGTATTTAAGTCCTAAAAATTCAGTAGCTACATGAAAAAAAAAAAAAAACATGTGAATTAAAATAAATAATTTTCTTTCTTTTTTTTTTATAAGATTTTTAAAAATTTATTTATCTGATAGAGAGATCACAAGTAGGCAGAGGGGCGGGATGGGGGGGAGCAGGCTCCCTGCCAAGCAGAGAGCCTGATGTGGGGCTCCATCCCAGGACCCCGGGATCATGATCCAAGCCTAAGGCAGAGGCTTTAACCCACTGAGCCACCCAGGTGCCCCAATAATTTCTTTCTTAACTGCATAGTACTCCATGGTTTATTCAACCAGTCTCCTGTACTTGGACATTTTTTTTTCCTTTAATTTTACTTATTTGGAGAGAG